ATATACATACACACAATATATATTAATATTAAATATATTTATAAAAGTGTATGTGATTGTAGCTTCTATTAAATGCAGGAAATGAAAATCCATTTCCTGGTGGATTTCTTCATGATGTACCTACTAATATTGAGCAGCAATATCCAGACATTGAAGATTTATTGCAACAATGTGCCGTTCCTCGTTCTACTAATACTAGAATATTTTTTGGTCAGCGATTAAAGATATTATTGGACGCAATTTTAGACGAAATACCTCAACATTAATATACCATAAAGTATTGGATTGTCCGGAAAGTTCGTGCCGCAAAAGATTTAAATTTAATATTATAAATGTATACTAAAATTTAAATCTTCTGCGTTTCTTTCAATTTTCCTTCAAAATCAGCACGAACTTTCCGAACAACCCAATAGCTTGTTACAATAGAATTTAAGAAATTTTTTAATATGATGTTATTGTGTTGAATATTTTTTCTTATTTTTGTATATTGAATTGTATCTTACTCTTTTTTAAATCTTTTCTAAAGAATATTGTATGTAATATCTTTGATATTAATTTATAATTTAATGTTATATTACAAATTATTTCAATAATATTAATAAAGTTGTATACAAAAATGGTATGTAATTTTAATTAAATTGAAGATGAATAAAACTACATTCATATATCGTTTGATTTATTTCTTTGGCATCTATTAATATATGTAATAATAATTGATTTAAGGATAATGTATAATTTCGAAACATGGTATTCTGAATGAAATAAGATTTAAATCCAATTTTCGAAGTTCAAGTTTGACTTTTTTTTATCCTTTAGCATCCTCTATACAATGAGAGGATTACTAAACTTAAACCTTGAAAACTGGATTAAAATTTTAGTTATTTCGTTTCGAAATTATACCATCTTATCCTATCTGTGTTTATACACAACATGTTATAATACACAATACAGAGACAGTGCAAAGTAATGTTAATAAATAAAAGAAGAATATTTTATATATTTTAATTTATATAGAAAAAGTTTCGATATATATACAATTGTGATATTATCTAAATAGTAATAATAAAAAATACTTTATTACAAGATAGTTGTACATGCGTCAGATTAAAACATTTAGTGACATTATTTATATCTTACAACCTTATTTTAACGTACATTGAATAAACAATTATAATACAATTGCTTACAATTACTGATTCGTTTAAGTAACGAACGTATACCAAGATGGTCGGTCCATCTTTGTAGGTAAAACAAAATTTGTTTTTTTTTTCGAGATTTTAAAACTGTTCAGATTCCCAAATTCCATCCAAGTGTCATTTTATTTTTATTGCTCATCAAATGTTAAACAAGGATAATATGATCCTGGGAAACATTCAGATGGGAATCTGAACATGTCCTAAATAGTACCCTACTATGAAAGAAAATTTTTTGTTCTCTTTCTTGTTCTCCCATTTCATTCTGGGATAACAGGAAAGCGTGCTGACTTTAAATTTGATAAAAAAATTTTATTTCATAAAATAAAGATCATTTGTCTTTTATTCAATTTCATTTAACTTTTGTAAAAAAAATTATTATATTTTATTTCATAAAATAAATATCATTTGTCTTTTATTCAATTTGAGTTAGAAATATTTCTTTAATTATATCAA